ACGTCATCAAAACGTGGCCAATTAATAGGAAGTAGAAGTTAAGTGACTTCATAGAAATAGACAAACGAAATTTAGTAACTCAATTGAAATTTCGATAAAATGTATAATTGAATGAGATAACCTTATCCACCAACACCAAGTGTAGAAGTTGCCACATGGGACTAAATCAAATCCTCTCAAATTTCCACCTCTCAATCCATTTCTTGTACTATCCAATTCAGCCTCTTATTTCATCTCAAAACACTCGATAATATTCATTCAAATAAACTTGTCTGTCGAGAGAAAACTGAATAGCAATGGCAGCTTCCACTTCTGCTGTATCAATGGCGATGCCATTAATCCGTGCAACCCGAAGCACACAACCTAATGCCGATGCTTTCCTCAAGCCGATACCCGTAAAGCCCTCGAAGGCCATTGCAGTTTCAAAAGTACCTGTTGGAAAATTTGAAGTCAAGGCTTCACTGAAGGAGAAAATGGTTACTGGCTTGACAGCAGGTGCATTGACAGCTTCAATGATGGTTCCGGACGTAGCCCAGGCTGCGAGCGGGGTTTCTCCGTCGTTGAAGAACTTCTTGCTGAGCATTGTGGCTGGTGGAGTGGTGCTTGGGGCCATTCTTGGTGCAATTATTGGTGTTTCTAACTTTGATCCAGTCAAACGGAGCTGAGGAGGCAATTCTTATTCATGCATCTTAATCTTTTCATCTTTGTGTGGAATGTGTTATTGTGTTACTTTACTCAATTTGAATAGATAACTTGTTTATTCGAAATCACAATCTTTTATGTATAAGGTAGAATTTACGCGGAAAACTCGAAAGCAAAAATTGTGCCCTCGAATCTTGATCGAATGCCAATATCTTTTGAAAAAACAAAAAAACCAACGTTACAAGAGTATTGGATTTACATAATTTAAGCCGAATAAATTAAAATTCTGAGATAAAAAATTCCATGTTTTTATCTCTACTTAATAAAATTGTGCCCTCGAATCTTGATCGAATGCCAATATTCAGTTGTAAACAAACCACCTCTATGACAAGGAAGACAGGTTGGGAAAGTAGCTCTCAGGCCACATCTCCAAGTGGTAAAAGAGGAATGTGGAAAAACTCCAACTTTGCTTGAAGCTGCCGCGTCAAGGGTTCGAATCTTGAAATATAGATTTGGCCATTGGATAAATGCAAGTATACAAGCAGCCTTCCACCCTATACCCTTAGAGGCATAATCTGCGATTTACCTCATTCACCAAATTTCAGGGCATGGCAGGTAGGGACCGTCAAGGATATGACTCATCCTTTTTTTTAAGAAAGGTTGGGAAAATACCCCTCCGAGGGTGGCCGAGTTGGTGGACGTGGAGGCCAAAGGTCACGAGTTCGAATCCCCTACCAACACTTTCTCTGTCGAGCCCGTCGCACCGAGCTTGTCTAGTACGATTTACCTCTCCTGTGTGGTTTGCGGGTTACTACACATGAAGCGGAGTTTACCTAGTGGGAACTCACAGTGGTCGGACCTTCGTTGATGGGTCAGCTCAAGCTCTGGAACTAGCACTATGAGTGGCAGAGGTTGGGGTGGGCTATAGACCAGCCCTACCCCCAGCCTAGAAGCAAAATTTTATTAATATTTGGTTAATTGAATTTAAATATTGGGAAAAATTTATGATTCAAGGGTTTACTTTCATGAAATTAAAAATCAGGTCCCAATGTTTTAATTTACAAAACTCAGGTTTTTCTTGAATTAATTAATTACATTTCCGAATTATTATATTAAATTAATTATTTAACTGTAATATAATAAAAT